ATTTATTTTTTTTTTTTTTTTTTTTTTTTTTTTTTTTTTTTTTTTTTTTTTTTTTTTTTTTTCCTGTGTGATTTAGAACTTTTCCTTCTGCCAGCAGTGGAGAAGGAGAATCCTCTGCAGGAATCCCAGACACAGCATGTAATCTCTGGTTCGTATCCAGCAGCCCAATCCATTCTTCATGTGTTTTCTTAGCCCTCTAATATTTGTAACACAATTTGAGAGCCATTGCAGCCAGGTGCACAACAGTAGCTCTTTTCCAACCTCCTGGCAACCAACAAATCCTGCTTAATATCCATTAATTGCCCTTAATCTGAGTCATGAAAGTTTTACTGCAACATCATAAGAAATCCTGAGGAAAAAGACTGTGCTTCAGGGGAACAGGCAATATTCCTCCAGCATCCTGTAGGTTCCTTGTGATTTTTTTTTTTTGTTACATCTGTATTTGTTCCTGCCTGGCCTCACAGTGCACAAGCCACTGTGTGACTCCCCAGAGAGCTGGAGCCATAAAATTTGTGAATTTGGGCTTACTTTGACTGGGAATTGAAAAAAAACCCAGTTACAGTGGCAAGAACCCTGGTAAATCACCCAAAAGTCCATGCAATGCATGCTACTCCTTCAACTCCACTCAGAAGTGCTTCCTGCTGGAAACTAAAGTGACCTCAATAAGTTGTGATAAATGCACTAATAGAGTGGTTTGGTCAGTGTTATCTGCTTATATACTACTTATCTACGCATAGTTTATTGGGCTCAAGCAGAAAGTTTATCAAAGTCCATGCAAAAGGCAGGAACTTCTGGAGAGCACCTGGTTGTGAGGGTAACTGGGAATAACGAGGCGAAGTGGGCTGGCCCTTCGCTTTTGGAAGTTCTGCAAGCACACAAAAGGTTTTGTATTTCACTTGCTTAAAACGTACTTGGGCTAACTGGAAGTATTGCAGTTGAAGTTTTTTGATCCTTATTCCTCTGCAAGCTGGGATTGGGTTTGTGGGTGGCCCTGAGGGGCCCTCATGGCGCCGCAGCGGTGGCACAACATGAGGGGTGAGGGCTGGCACCCTTCACCCCATCCCACCGCAGCGGGCAAGGAGGAGAGGGCACAGATGGAATCTGTGCCAGGGGACGCTCAGGTTTGGCATCACGGGGAATTTCTTCATGGGAAGGTGCTCAGGTGCTGGAAGGGGCTGCCCAGGGTGGTGGTGGAGTCCCCAGCCCTGGAGGTGTCTGAGGACAAGGTGTCCGTGGTGACATGGTGACACGGTGGTGTTGGACTCCATGACCTCGGGGGTCTTCCCCAACCTAATGGAGCCTGTGATGGACAGGGCAGGGCACAGCCTGCTCCATGGAGGGCTCAGGGGTGTCACCACTGCCTGCCCCGCTCCATGGCGGTTCAGGGGGACACAGCCCTCCTCACCACACCCAACATGGCGGGATCAGGGGTGTCACCCCCCTCCTCACCACACCCAACATGGCGGCCCTGCCCCGCCCCGCCCTCTCCCGCCGCGGGTCCTCCGGCCGCCAGGGAGCGCTGCGCGGCGGGGCGGGGCCGGCCGGGCCGGGTGACCGCGGCGTCACGTGAGGGCGGCGGGGGGAGCCGGGCCCGGACGAGCGCGGGTGTCCCGGAGCGGCCGAGAGCAGCGCCCGGCACAGCTCGGCACGGCACAGACCGGCACAGCCCGGCCCGCAGCGTCCCGGCCCGCCGGAGCCATCGCCCGGCCCAACCCGCAGCGCCCCCGGCCCGCCCGCCCGCCGCCACGATGCTGGCGCTGCTGTCCCGGCTGCTCGACTGGTTCCGCTCGCTCTTCTGGAAAGAGGAGATGGAGCTGACCCTGGTGGGGCTGCAGTACTCGGGCAAGACCACCTTCGTCAACGTCATCGCGGTGAGCGGGGCGGGGGCCGTGGGGATGGAGCGGGGCCGGGCCGCGGGGAGCAGCAGTGGGCCCTCGCTGGGGAAGAACGGCTGAGCCCCGGGGCTGCCGAGCCTCCGTGAACCTTTGTGTGCTGGTGGAACCCGCGGGGACACCGATGCCACAGCAGGGCTCGGCCCGCAGCAGGCTCTGAAGGCGCCTTTCGGTCAGAGTGTCGGTGTGGCGGGGCTCTGTTAGCAGATTGGGAGATAACATTGTGTGTCATCGGCTGCCGCCTCCCTCTGATTGCTTTTCAGTAGTCCTAAATCATTTAAGTGTCATCACCTACTCACGGTTCTCCTCTCAAATACTTGCTTATCGATTGCTGAAACCCATATCAAATAATCTCCTTTCTTTTAAGGTACAACTTAGCTAAGAAGTACAGCTCACAAGCACAAGCCCATCAGCAGCAAACTGCTGCACTGGGGCCTGCTGATCTGGTGCTGTGCCTGGAGCAGGTAAAGGAAGGGTGTGGGAATACTCCTACACGAAGCTTTTCCATTGTTGAACGAGATAAAGAATGGCTTTGCCTAAATGGCGCGTTCAGCTTCATCAGTGTCCTGCTCTGCTGATGTATGTGATGGAAAACATTCCAGGAGACAAGCTGGACTTTGGGAGCTCCTGAAATGGGCAACCAGGGTATCTTTTGGTTTTTCAGGGAGTGTGAGTGACCTAGAATGAGAAAGCTGATATCTCCTGCTTTAGAGTGAGCACAGCTCCAGCTTGTCTCTTGGTTTTTGAAGCTGTGTCCTTAGCACCGTGGAATACTTGTAAGAATGTATTTATTTAAGTGCCAGTTGAGCGAGTTAGTGGCTGGGAAAAGGGCTTTCATTCTCTTGCAGTTATGCATCATCCTGCACACTGACAAACAGCCTGGCAAACCATAAGCAAGCCCTCCTGCAGCTCAGGTGTGAGCACTCAGTGGGCTTCCTGATAATCATGCAAAATGGGTTACTTCATGACAGGTAACTTCTCTGACTAGCTGGCAGCTAAAAGTTGCTGGAGTGACCCAGGAATGCCAGGAGCCTTTTCTTTCACACTCTGCCAGTACATCTGGGCTTGGATTTGTAGAAATGGAGATCTGAAATTGTACAGCCTCGATCTGTGGCTGCTGAGCTGGTACTGCTTGGAGTGTTTCTGCAGCTGGGGGCTCTCTGCAGGCTTCTCATCCTCTGGAGTCCTGGTGATGGCACTTGACAAAAAAATACTTTGCTTCTGTATGGTAGCAACAGCATGATGAGTTTGGGGAGTTACCTGTGGAACTCCCTGCAGGTGTGTGCAGCAGTCAGAGCTGTAGTAGCTGCACATCAGCCGAGTCCATCTAAGCTGTCTCCAGTGGGAGAAGTTTCCCTAAGTAAAGCTGGAGTCTGTTTCCAGCCTCCTCTGCGGGGGTTGAATCTTGCAAGGTTTCAACCACATGTTAGGATCACACCCAGGCATTTATCTGAGTGAGTGCCGTTCAGGGAGCCTTGCAAAACCCCGGGGAAGGAGGAAGCTGGTGAGCATGCTGACACAGCCTCCTTGGCTGGTTTAGTTTGGAAGCATCAGGTCACGTTTCTGAAGTTTTTAATTAGGAAATCTGGGGAGTCTTTGCACAGAAAAACAGAGGGAGGGGGTTTGCCCAGGTCTGTGTTATTGGTTTAAACAAAATAAGTTGCCAGTGCAAAATCACTTTTTAGAGCAGTGCAGTCCATGGCATGCAGAGCTGTCTTCTTATTTGCTTCCTTGACTGACTTTAGTTCAGAGTCTGTATTTGGGAATGAGTGCAGGAAAGAACAACTGCTCTCTGCAGGCCAGTTAATGGTTTGGGTGGATGAGGCTGTTGGGATTCCTCAAAACTGAAATGAAAGGAATGACACAGCAAGATGTCCTGTAGGACAGCTCTAAAAGCTGGAGTGCACACCAGGAGCTTGGTGTGGCTTAGAAGGTTGTGTGCTGCCTAACAAAGAGCTCTTGCCAGTCTTGACAGCTGTGAGTTTAATCCAGTATAAATGTCTAATGTAGTCTGTGCCCATCAACTCAGGCATATGGAACTAGAGGGAAAACTCAGCCAGTTACACAGGGAAGCTTGGTACAAGGCCTGGCTGCTGCTGAAGTGGACAGGCCACCAGAGGCAGACAGTCCAGTTCTAGGATAATCCTATTATAGATTGGTGGTGGGTTTTGATCATGTTTATTCCTCCAGTGTAAACAAACACTTGATTTGTAATCAGGCTAAACAAGGGCCTGGAGAGAGGACAAAAGGGAATGGATTTGAACTGAGAGATGGGGAGGTTAGATTAGATATTAGGGATAAATCCTTCCCCACAGGGTGGGCAGGTCCTGGCACAGGTGCCCAGAGCAGCTAGGTCTGCCCCTGGATCCCTGGCAGTGCCCAAGGCCAGGCTGGACAGGGCTTGGAGCAGCCTGGGACAGTGGAAAGGGTGGCACTGGATGGTCTTGAATGTCCCTTCCAGCCCCAACCCTCCTGTGTTCAGTTTGATTAGGAGGTTTAAAACCCAGCGTTAGCAGTGAAATCTCGTTAGAGCTGGATTCAGCTAATGCAGCTTCTGCTTTTCTAAGGCTCTGCATTAGTCACTGTCTCTAATTAGATATTAAGCATAAGTTTTCCATGTATGTGAGTAAACTTGCTCACAAGGGAGGATATCATTTCTTCCTGGTCCTAATTTCCCTAATGTGGATGGCCTGTGGCTCTTATTCAGAGAAACTGCATGTCATCCCGGGATCGCATCTGGAATTGTCGGCTCCTGAGCCGAGCCCTGGAAATGCCCATTATTTACAGCCTCTGCAGGATCTTGTGGTGTTTGCAGCTCGTGGCCGTTCCCTCAGCCCAGCAGCTGGTGGCTGTGCTGCTGTGGGGAGCACGAGGGGCTGCTGGGGCCGTGTGGCACCACTGAAACATGACTCAAGTGAGCTGAGCCTGCCGGTGGCCAGCAGGCGTGCAGCTGGGGAACAGGGCACCCCTGCAGCTGGGGAGAGGAGCACTCACTCCTGCAGCCAGGCAGCAGGGCACTCCTGCAGCCTCCACAGCCTATTGCATTGGAAGAGTGGCATGGCCTGGGGTTTCTGTAGAAGTTCTGCCTGATGCCTGGTAGGTTGAGCCTTGATGCAGGTGTTTGGCACTGGAACACTGAAGCTCATTAGCCTGACCACTGAAGCCTCGTTAGTCAGGGAGCAGAGATCTGGAGGAGTGGGAAGAAGTTGGACTTTGCTGGTACAGTTATCAGGTTCAAGAGCTAAACTCAACCTGTTTGTGGTGACAGGGTAAATAGGGTCCCTCTTTAGGATTTGTGTCGGAGCCTAAATTAGCGTGGTTGGTTTTTTAACTTTGGAATATCTGGCAAGTGTTGGAATGAGACTGTGGTTTCTAGAGAGAGGCAATTCCTAAAGTGCCTCTCAACGAAAGATTCGTTTGGCCAGCTGGGAGCTGCAACTTCCTTTTGTTCTCATGACTGTTAGAAGTAACTTTGACTTGAAGAAGCCACACCAGAGAAATGCAGAAAAATACTGCTCTAAAGAGCTCCACTGCTGTTTTAATACCTTTTGAACCACCCAGGTAGGCCATAAATTCTGTGTGTTGTCACTTCATACACATTGTGGCTGAGGGAGAAGGCTGATAAAATTTGAAGTGTTTCTTAATGGCAGAAGTCTCTTGAAATGCATTGCATCACTTCATTAGCTAATAAAGCTCCTAGGAGGTGACTCAGACCCTTTCTTTGAGGCCCTGCTTGCTGTACCCTAGATGGGCTAAAACAGGTGACTGAAATCAGAATCTCCTTTCTCCATCTTGGTCCTGAATTCCTGTAGAGCACTTCGTAAGCAGTGGCAGAGCTGTAAGTGGTAACATCTGGATAAGGACACTTCCTTGACTGTCGGAAACATGAAATGTCCTGAGCTCTTACATGACTGACTTCTAGACAGACATATGCCTTCTTTATGGTTGATATTTGCTAAGCAGTCCATGTCCTTTTAAATATTCAATTAAACTCGGGGCTGGGGAAATAAAAATGTATTTTCTTGTCATATACCACTGTTTTGGTTTCTGCAGGAGTCATTCCTGGAAGTGCTGTTGGGAAGCCTTTCTGGGATTGAAGTTTCTAAACTGGAGTTCAGGCTTGTGATCATGATCACAAGTAGCTGGAACACTGAAGTATTTCCTAAAGAAGGAAGCTGGACTGTAGAAAGTTGATTTGTCTGTTTATGAGGCACTGCTTGGTTGAGGCTATGAGTGTTGCAGAGGAGGCTTAGTGTAGGGGTAGCTTGATATAATGCTAAAATTGCACTGCTTTTTAAATAATTTTTTTGAAGAAGACATTTTGGAGACATACAGCATTTTTTCTTAGCGTGAAAAGAAAGAAATTTCTTGGGATGAGCAGCAGGGTTTAATGTAATACTCTGGTTCAGGTGGATTGGGAGTGTCCTGGCTGGATTCCACACTCCAGTGGTGTTGTTTCCTAGTTGGTTAAGCTTGTTTGTGATCTCATCTAGCTGGATGAAAAGTACTGTGATTAAAGATAAAACAATCTTTGCTGTGCGATAACAAAATCTGTATGAAGAAATTGGTCCCATAACAGCAGTGAATCATGTCAGCTTTATGGGATGCAAACTAAAGGCTGCCCTGACCTTCTCTGGTCCTTGTGCAGGCTGTGGAATCAGAATCAAGCTGCTTAGGGGGCTGCAGTCTGCTAGGAGTTGTCCAAGGCCAGGCTGCACAGGGCTTGGAGCAGGCTGGGGTAGTGGAAGGTGCTCCTGCCCATGGCAGGAGGTGGAACTGAGGTTCCTCCCAATTGAAACCACTCTACCATTCCATAACTCCTTGGAATTTGAGTTTCTGACTGTAGCTTATGGTTTTGGAGAGGCAGATGAAGAAACCCAAATGTGTTTTGTTTGGTTTATGGTTTGACTCAAGACAACTGGAAATGGTAGGTTTAATAAGGTTGTAATAGTAATTAAATTATAAAAGAGACTAAACTTGCATCCTTTATACACTTCTGGAATGTCAGGGGATGGCAAGTTAAGACTTGTCCTAAGTTTTCCTCTGGGGACTGAACTGTACCTGTAGCTGGCTTGTTCAGAAATGTTGCAGTCTGTGATTTAGTGCTGCCACTGGTACAAGGTGAGCTGGACCCAAACTGATCCATGGAATAAAGTCCCTTAGGTCAGTCTGGGTGCAGTTTTGCTGCTCTGAGTAATCCTTATCCACCATAAGTACTCATCTGGGCAAGTGGGTTCATGCTGCACTTAAATCTCCTGTTTGGGTTCTCCAGGAGCTGTGAAGGGAGCATCTCTTAAACCAGGAGGCTGAAGGATTAGTCCTGGGGGTTCTTTGTGCATGTGGCCTCTGAAATTGGCTGTTTAGTCTCCCTGGCCCTTATCTCCCACACGGCTTGGAGTTAACTTTGTTTGGTGACCTTCGGTTTGTGCTGGTGCTGTGTGGTCTGTGTGACCTCGGGGCTGAGGCTTCCAGCAGAATCCCTGCTGGGACAGCTCCTGCCCTTCCAGGAGTCCTGTGGGGAGGTCAGGGTCTGCCTGCTGGAGTGGGCACCACTGCTGAAAAGGCATTGCTGGATCTGTCAGCAGCTACTCCTGCTGTCCTTGATGAGTGTTCGAGCAGTGCTGCCGTGTGTGACAACAGCCAAAGGCTTTCCCATCGGGAATTGAAAATATTGCTGTGCATATCAAACTTGTTTTAAAGCTGGTGTTTCAGGAGGAAGCATCTTATTGTGAGCACACAGTGATAGCACCGAGTACTCTGCTCTGGGAGGGAAGGCTGATTCCAACCAAGTGACTGCTAGTAAAAGTATGTTCCTTTTGTGCTGCTCTTCGAGTAGCTTTTGCATATGAATACTCTAAGTTGAAGCTGAATTCCTGGCTTTTTTCCTCTGAGGAGGTAGTAAACAAAAGCCCTCTAAATTCTGAGTGTAGAGAACAGTTTCTGGGCCAAGGCAGTTGAATGTGGTAGCAGAATCCATCAAAGGAGATCACTGTCTGCTGCTAAAATCCTTTACAATCATTTTAACCAATTTTTGACCTGTCTTAAAAGAGAAGGAGACTTCCAATAGCTTCCTTTGGGTCCAGTGAACAGAGGAACACCCACACTCATGTCAGGGGAAGGTCTTTCAAATGAAGACCTCAGCTGACCCATATGTTCATGTCAGCTCTGGATTGTCCCTCTGCAAAGCAGAGAACAGGCAGCTGAAACTCAACTGAGCGACTGCAGTTTGAAGGTTTTGAGGTTTTAAGCAAGTCAAAACAAGTTTGGGGATGTGCAGCGTGGGTAGAGAGCGCTTGGGAAGGAATCAGATGCAGCAGCTTTCCTGAAGATTCTGTAAAAGTTTCCCTGTGGTGGGTCACAGTAATTTCAACGTTACATTAAAGATGTGGCAAATGAAGTGCTGCTCCAATCTGCAGGAATCTGTGTCCTGGAAGAGCAGTGGGAGAACATGAAATGGGTCCTGAACACGCTGCAGTTAGTGGGATGACTGGCACAGTGAGTGCTGCAAGGGAGGGCTGTAATCTCCTCACAGGGATGGACAGGGAGTGTTTGGACAGCCTAGAGCTTGATGAGGGTCATGATAAGGTTGTTCATGGGTAAGAATCAGGGGGAAGGCCAACAAGGCAGATATCCTGGTGGGGGTCTCTTCTAGACCACCCAGCCCAGGATGAAGAGGCACCAAAATCTTCTTTAAGCTGCTGGGAGAAGTCTCACTGTGGCTAGGCCTTGTTCTCATGGGGGACCTCAGCTTCCCACATGTCTGCTGGAAATAAACCCAGCAGGGAGGTGATGAGTCCAGGAGGTTCCTGGAATGTGTGTTCCTATTGATAAGAACAGCTCTCGAGAGAAGGATCTGGAAGGATCTGAGTGGGAATAGTTGGCAGCATCTGGGGTAAGGCTCAGCAGCGCAGAGATGGAGGCTCAGGGAGTGCTTGGGAGACGCTGGGATAGGAGCTGTGGGTGTGGGGTGTGACTGTGGAGGCAGGAATGTGGAGGCAGGAATGCTGTGGTGCTTGAGCAACTGGCAAGTGACCCTTCAGAGGCAAGATTGGTTTGAGGAGCTGAACTGAGCTGCCCCAGGCGTGGCAGCACAGCTCACCATGGGCTCTGAGCTGTGCTGGTCACTGGCTGCAATGGGCTGCTCATGCCCTGGCATTTGGGGCAGGAATGGGCAGCTCCTGGACTGGCATTCCCATCGGGCACCCACCCTGCCATGTGAGAAGGGGCAGAGTGGATTCTGAAGCAGTGCTGCAGGGTCTGACCCAAGCTCCTCGTGCAGCCCTGGTCTTGCTGGCCTCACTGTTCCTGATACAAGCCAGGAGCTGTTGCCCTTCATGGCCACCTGGTCAGGTTTAGTTGCTCCTTGCAGCCTGTGGGCAGTCGGGCCCTAACAGGGTTGCTGTGTCTGCTTCAGAGATCCCAAAAGGCTTTGAACCCCAGGGAACTTCTCTGGCCAGTGTCAGGGGAGAGATGCAGGCTTTGCTGCTGTGATACCAAACCCTAATTAAACAGCTGAATGCTTTGGGATCAACCCTAATTTTTCCAAATGTGCTTGACTGTCTGGTTCTATTACACATAATGGATGTAGTGAGCTTCATAATGGCCACTGTGGCTGATTCACCTTCTGCCAAACAGCCAAGGGAGAAATCTGTAGTAGTGTTGAAAACTCTTGTTATGGCTACAGGAGATAGTTGGGAACTTGGCTCTCAAGCTGCTGCAGATGGAAGTGTTACAGACAGTAAAACATCTGCCACTGGAGAAGCTCTCCAGTGCAGTACTCTTGCAGCAGTTCTGTCCCAGCTGGGAGTGATGTTGGGAGCCAGCTCAGATCCTCTGGAGCTGCATTTGCCATCGCTGCACAGGTTGGACACTGGCCTGGCAGGAAGCTGACCCGGCAGGTCCTTCCACTTTGCAGCTTTTAACACTCCTCAGGGAGTCACCCCATACCTGTGGGCAGGAGGCTTCCTCCACAAGAGTGATTTATTGCTGCAAAGGCTGGCCAGAGAGCAGCTTGCATCAGAGGGAGCCCTTCTGGATATTTCTAGCTCCCAGGTAACGGGGAGATCCCGACATGCAGCCTTGGCTCCAGCAGAAGTAGGTGAATGGCTCTTTCCTCCCCTTGCCCTGTCCATCTGTTAAGCTGTGCAAAGCACTCTCCCAGGTGGCTTTGCTCCCCTGGCTACCTCGAGGCTTGAAAAACTATTTCAGTGCTTGTAAGAAATGAGTTGTCTGACTTCACAGAAGCTCCAGTACACATGGATTTAACATCCACGACTTCTTGGCCGTAAAACCTTCAGTTGGAAGGCAAATGGTTAGAAAAAGGTTGTGATATTTTACTGTGTAAACCAGTTGTGTCAGATAAGCACTAAATTTAACTTTCTCTTTTTTCTTTTTTCCAGTCAGGTCAATTCAGTGAAGATATGATTCCTACTGTGGGCTTCAACATGAGGAAAGTTACAAAGGGTAATGTTACAATAAAGGTATGTTGCCATTGTTGACTGTTTTCTTTAGGTTCTAGTTTGCAATTTACGTGTTTGCTCTGTTTTGCTTCCAGCCTTGAGGCAAATATAGAACACTGAAGAGGCTCAGCTAAATCTGTCGAGTAGCTTAAGAAGACATTTATGTTTATTTATGGAGTTTCTGAAATGAGAATCTGTGTGTGATTCCCAGGTTCATGGACTAGTTAAAGCACTGTTGTGATAATGCTGTCTGGCTTAGATCTGAATGTTTGAGGTCCAGAGATGCTGTTTCCTGCTCATCAGTTTGCTTAAGGGAAGGTTTTTAAAGTGAATACATTGTATTTTCTTGTGTAGCTCAGTATGTAACCTTCATACGCGGGATGTTCTTACATCTGATGCAAGGTGCTCCAGTTTGCACCTCCTGCTCTTGGGCCCTAAGCTCTGAGCAGCTGTGCAAGGGATTATTCCTGTTTTAACATGGGAGGGGTCAAGCAGCTGCTTAAGGAGAAAGGAAAAACTGTAGTGATTTCTTGTCTTATCTTTGCCTGACATGTTTAAACACAGTGCATGGCTAAATTGTCTTTCTCCCCTTGCCTTAAGATTTGGGATATAGGAGGGCAGCCCCGATTCCGGAGCATGTGGGAGCGATATTGCAGAGGAGTTAATGCTATTGTGTAAGTGTCCTTCCTTCAGCTCTGCTTCCTTCACATGGGCTTCTCTTCTCTGGGAGCCTTCCTAACCCTGCATGCCTGACTGTAGTTCTCCTTGTGATTCTGAACCACACTGACCTTGTGCACCCTTCAGTTCAGGGCTCAGGATGGGTTATTTTATCAGTGTCTGATCTGGAGTACTAACTCCTCCCTGACTGAACTGGGTGGCAGTGCTAACTCAAAGCATCTTCCTTCTGCTCTGGTCTTAGAGAATTTTTTTTTAAGAACTAAGTTCTTTGCTCAGAAGTCCTAGCTTGAAAACCTTGTTGAATGTGCTCAAACCTGGCAGTGTAAAGAAAAGACTGATGTTTCTGCAGGAGCTCAGTGTCACTGACCTAACCTGAAATTCTCTTTAAAGCTACATGGTAGATGCTGCAGATCGTGACAAAATAGAAGCCTCTCGGAATGAGCTGCACAATCTTCTAGATAAGCCCCAGTTACAAGGAATCCCTGTAAGTAACATCACCTTAAACACCATTAAATGTCTCTGAGGAAGGTGCATCATTTGGGCAACTCTGATGTCTAACTTGAACTCTGAATTATAAGGCCCAGCCTTACTGGTCAGTATAAGATGGACAATGCCTGCCCCCAGTGCCTTAAATCAATTTTTGACCTTCAGTGGTCTTATTTCACTCAGTGCTCACAAAACATAATAAATACAATTGAAACAGTAGTTTAGAGGATTCCACAGTATGAGTTTGTGCTATTGACTAAAGGTTAACCACAGTGTAGTACAGAAGTGTAGAGTAAGTTTGGGGAATCTCAATGAGTGTGCTGCAAATGTTCTCAGATTTATCAGCTGATGTATTCTCTTGCTTGCTCTTTGCACAGAACAGCTTATTTGTACCCCCTCTTTCCCTGTGACTAGGTCAGTCTTCTTTCTTGGTCTGGTTTAACAGTGCATATCTCTTTCCATTAGATTTAATAGGCAGATTCAGGCTGCTCATGAGTCTCTTTAAGTTTGTTTTCTGGTTTTGGTTGGGGTTTTTGTCTGTTTGGGATTTTTTAAAGCAAAGCAACAACCATTTCCTTCTCTGGATTTCAGGTTCTAGTACTTGGAAATAAGAGAGACCTTCCTAATGCTTTGGATGAGAAACAGCTAATTGAAAAGATGTAAGTCTAACCCTTGCTAAGAAACATTTCTCTTCCTCAATAAATTCATGCACATAGGGTTGTTATTAGATCAGGAAGCTTGCATTTATGAGTGGAAAACCCAGCAACAGCAGGTGACTGAATATTGTACAGAACAAGTTGTGTGGGGAAGGGGAAGAGGAGCAGCTCAGATTGACATCAAGAGCCCTTGTGTCAGTGAAATGTGTGCTGACATGTTCTCTCTTTCCTAGGAATCTTGCTGCTATTCAGGACAGAGAAATCTGCTGCTACTCAATTTCTTGCAAAGAGAAAGATAATATAGGTAACTATTAACCCAAAACACTGAGAATTATGAAGTGCTGTCAGAGGATGGATTGGGGGGATTTTAAGTTCTTAAACTTCATGTCTTCAGGAAGCCAGGAACAAATCAAAGACCAGTGTATGAGTGCATGGGTTTAATTCAGTGTAACTCCTGATGGCAGTGAGGAAGCCTGACTGGTGTTAAAGTTTTAGGGGTTGTAGTTACCAAAAAATGCCAGTCCCTGTGAAATGTGCTCCCTTCTTCAGTCAGTTTGCAGGAAAGAGCTGACTCTAGTCCATTATCTTGGCCTGAAGGATTTTATACTTCTGTCAGGTGCTCTCACCTCTGTCTCACTTGGTCAGGATGCCAAATACTTGCAGCAACTTTTTCCTCAAGTTTATTCCCCAAGATTATTTCCCTTGCAATAATCACCTTTCCTTGCTGTGTTGTCAGAGCAGTTTGTGTTGTGCCATCTGCAGTCCCCTGCAGCCAAACAGTGCCTTTCTTCTGGCAGAGACATCAAATGCTTCAGAAACTTGTGGAGTTCAAAGCAGAAACCATGTCCTGTAATCTCTGGTATTTGCCATAAGCTTTGTGAGTAAACTAAGTCATCTCAGCTGAGTGAAAACAGAATTTAACAACACTTTCCACCCTTCTCCTGATGCCTTCCTTGGCTGCCATGGGATTAACACTGGTGCATTGCCAGGGTAACAGGAGTTTGCTGATAAGGAAACTTCAGGGTGATGCTCCCAGGAGAAACTCTAAAGGATACCAGGATGGCTTTATAGGGAAAAAAGCTTCTTTCTAGGAAAACTGAATAGTCTGTGGAACAGTTGTGGCTTCCAAGAAGCCCCTGTCACCTTAGCATCAGTTAAATGTTCAGACATGCTGGATGGAAGCAGAGACCCCCTTCTGTGGAGATCCACACAAGGCTGCCAGCACAGCTGAGCACCACTGAGGCTCCTGGCTGGAAGGGAACCTTCCTGAGGAGAGCCTCTTGCAGGCAGGGAGGAGCACGATGCCTTGTACCACAGGGCTAAACCAGCCTTGTTCTCATCAGGGGAGGAGCTGCAGGCTGGCTGAACAGAGCAGTGCTGATCTAAAACTAATTATTGGTGAAGTGTCCCATGAAGGAATATCTTTTTCCCAGAAATGGGCTGAACTGAGGAGCCAGGATGTGTGGGGCAGTGCCTGTCATTGTTACCTAAAGGATGCTTAACAGTTCAAGTTAAGTTACAGGATCAAAGCATGGACAGCAAACATCCAGAAAATCGTTGTGTTCATCTGCCCTGGGCCATCCTCTAGAGAAGGGCTGGGATATTCCTGTCCTGTGTTTGGGACACTGGAATACCAAAGCCTTGCCACTTACTCCAATACAGACACTTGAATGTGGAACTTCTCTTCTCTCTCCCTGTAGATATCACGCTTCAGTGGCTTATTCAGCATTCAAAATCTAGAAGAAGCTGAAGTCTTCCTGGAATCTCCAGTACCAGTTGGCCATAATCTCAATTGTCCACTTCCCTCCATAATGAGATACTACCCAAAAATCCTGTATCAAGAATCTGCCTTTTCACGGTTCATTTCTCATGTGCACTGCTGAAGACTTGTATTCCTATTCTGTCACAAAACAACTAGAGTTGTCATGATAAAGTCAGCACAAATATTTATTTTACAACCATCTGTGGTGGGAGGGTCGTGGGGGGGCTTTTTAAAGAAATATCTCTACCATGTTAACTACGATGGTACACTCTGTTCTGGTTTTTCAGGGCCAGGTTTTTATATGATTTTCAGCAAGTGTTTTATTTCTAGTGTTTAGTGGCTTGAAGATGCTGATGCTTGACAGCATTAAGATTCTGTAAGATGCCACATACAGTAGTTAGAAAACATTTAAGCGTGAATTGTGGGATACTGATTGATCTCACAGATGCATGTGATGTGTGTATGTAAGCAGAGAAATGGAAACTGTTTGCAGAGGGGAGCACAAGGCATAGATCAGCATCACTAATCTACAGCTGAGATCCTGTCACTGGAAAAAGAAAACTCTCCTGATGAATTAGGAAAGTCATCTGTTTAAAATCATTCTGTTGCTTCTGTTTAACATTTATGTGGGGGATGGGAATGGACTGTTCTGTCAAACTTTCAAAAATTGGAGTATTCCAGCATGAAAACAATTCGCTAGGAACATCAGGCTGTGTTCAAATACATTTTTCTATCTCCAGATAACTCGTGGTCTCTCTCTGAAACCAGAACATGCATTCTGAGCAGCTGCATGACACCCAAATTACTGATGCTCTTGTATCGAGGCAGTTGTTGACCTTTAGCACAATCTGTGTGTAATTGTCAGTGTCTCCTGCTCCTGGAATGGCTGGGCACAGTTTCACCTGGTGCTATGGAATACCTGGGCTATTGTGACAACTCTAGACCCGCCTGCTTTCTCGATGTAACCATGTGCAAAGCCTGTCAGATGCAATGAAATGTTTTGCTGTGTCAAAGCACAAGAGAGCCAATGAATTGATCTGTCTCTTGACTAGCTCCTGCAGCTTAGGGAAGTGTGTATAAACTCAAGACTGTAACGTTTCTGTAGCTTTACTTTCTCAGTGACTTCAGCGTATTTAAAGGGACAGCCTTGTTGAGACTGGTTTGTTCATCCAGCAGTGTCAGTGTAGCTACTCGTGTGTGCAGATCCATGGTGCAGCTCTCGTGTTGCCTCACACCGTGTGTGACTCCTCACCTCCTCGTGGTTTGCGTCCCAGGGCCCCGGGCTGGGAGCAGTGCTGTCCCCTCCGTTCTGACCAGCCAGTGTTAATGCAGACTGCCATGGCCTTACTGTCCTGTCCCAGCTCTGGCACTGCTGCACACACACTACAGCTGCCTGCCTTCAGCCTGAAGTTACATTTGAACTTTTTGTCCCCTTTCAGTTCTCTGAAGCATGGTTTCAATTAATCCATACTCTGGTGCTGTAGAGGAGAGGGTGTATTAACTTGCTACTGTAGTCCCGAGTTCACCAGAACTGCTACAGTTGCTTTTATTTAGCAAACTTGCTTGTGCCTATCATAAGGAAACTAAACTAGAATGTGTGAATCTTTGTGGGGGACCAGGTCACTGTTTAGTTAACTGGCCTATAGCTAAACTTGATGTGTTTGGTGTTTATCTACTTCACTGCTTTCAGCATTTATGGCATCCAAACACTACCAATTGTTAACCTGTGCATTACTCTCTGCATGTGAACAACTTATACAATTACTGAACTTTGTAAATACGTGATTTTTTTTTATTTAGGTGGATGCATATGTTGGTTTACTGCTCTTCAGCTTTATTCAATAAACTTATGTTTTGAGGGTTGTATTGACACTTAACTGCCTGACTTGAGTTGATGTGGCTGAAATCATGGAAAAACACAATGGGATGTCTGTTTCCTCTGCCAAAGATTCCAGTGGGGGAAGAAGGATTGGTAAATACCTGAGCTGATTTATAGTGTGTGGTTCAGCTATTCCAGTGAAATGCTCACAAAACTACCTTTGAGGCCTGGGGCTTGCTCACCTTACCTGAGCAAGCTCGGACAGTCAGTCTGAGCAGATTGCAGGGCTTTTTGATGTGTGTGAAAAGCACTGGTCAGCTGCAGGGTCTGAAGCAGGGGCAGCCTTCTGGAGCTCAGTTTTCAGGAGAGAAATGGATGTGTTTGCAATCTTGGTTCTTGTGTCGAGCCTAGAGTAAAACCTTTGTTTTTCTACCCAAGTGTCAGATCTTGCAGTGCCTGATCATTCACTGCCAATTAAAGCAGAAGGATTCTTATCTCAGTGGAAAGTGAGGCTTTTGTTGACTGAGGTCTTGAACAAATCTTTGCTGTGATTTTAATCAGAAGTTTCACTGACTGTTCTTCCCAAAGGTTTTTGTTGTATTAATTTCTCTTAGGACACTGATTAATTAATAGGACTGTCTGTCAGCATCTTCCAATCAATGGTAAGGAATTGGATGTCTTGTTTCAGGCTTGTCTCCATGTAAGCTTTCAGACTTATTGAGCTGTATCAGGTTAGTTTTTAGTCCTGAGTGCAGGTCTTTGAGCATCCTTCAAATGTAACTCAGCTGGTGGGAAGGACTAGTGACCTGTTAAAGATTTGTGCATATTTCTTTGGGAGCTTCCTGCATGCAAAACAAGCTCCCTGCAGTTCATAGTCAAAGTGAAGTGTCTCTGGAGACAAATCTGAAAGCAGTGTTAGTGCACTAAGCCTTGTCAGCCTGGTTGGTGTGATAGCAGTACCAGTCATTCAGTAAATCAGCTGTGGTATGACCTGGCCCACAGCTCTTTGCTTGATGTGCTATTTCAGTAGCAGTTTCTGTTTCTAGGTGTAAATAGCAGGGAGAGACACAGGAGCCCCCATGATGTGTGTTCTCTAAAAGGTACGTTTGCAATACTCCCCAAATGCCCCCAGCTGGGTTTCACAGCTGTTGTGGTACTGCTCTGCCACATGCCCTTGGTTACTCCTGTGGCAGGAAGGACACCTCAGAGTGGCTGCACTGGTTCTGTTTCTGGGCTTGAGTAACTTCCCAGGGAGCTTTTCTTTGAAAAGGGGAGGAATTGTTTCCTTCTCAACACCTTCTCAGCCTTGGACTGAAAACAATACTCATCTGGCACTTTATGTCCAAGGTTAAATCTTTTCTGGCCTGATGAAGGTGTGGAGCCTAGCACAGGCATTAGCAGTGGTGCTTGCAGAACTTGGATGCTGCAGCTGTGTTCTAGAAATGTAATCTCACCATGATTACTTGTCTCAGGCTCTGTAGTGAGCATGGACAGTAAAAAGAGGCTGATGACATTTCCCATTCTCTTCACAAAAATTGCTTTTGGGGATGCATTTTAGTTTCATAAGTTATTGCATTTGACATCAATATAGTCATACTTATGTCACACAGTCCTGAAACTCCCCTGATGTAGGTCTTGACTGTTGGCATGTTAAGAAAAGCAGCTCTTGTGCAAAGGCAGACTGAGCGTGGTGGTGAATACCTGGAAGCTGGACAGCAGTCCTCCCTCTGATGCTGGTGGGGTGTGGGCACTGTGTGCTGTCCTGGGCTTTAAATCAGCTCTCAGCACTTGCTGGTGGCTCTGTTCAGTGCAAGTTCTGGAGCAGCAGTGATGAGATGAGCAGTGGTTGTGCTTGTCCCCACAGCTCTGCTGCAGGAGAGTTTCCTTGGAGTGTCCCTGTCCTCCCAGCTCCAGTGTGGGTGGTGGTTCCTTGAAGTGCAGTTGCAGAGCAGGGGAGTTCCCATCACCCAGAGCAGCTCTGTCCCACCACTTGGCAGCAGGAAAGATGCACAGATGTGGAGCTGTTCCATCATCTGTGGAACCAATAATCCAGTTCCTCAATGATTTATGTTTTATTTTTGCTTCTTGATGGAAACAGGTTGGAAAGATTTTGGGTGCTGGCATATCAAACTGCATAATCTTCACTTTCTGGTGGAAGTAAAGGCCAAAGAAAATGCCTTAAACAGTCTGTCTGTTGAATCTAGGAGTGTTGTGCAGGGATCTGTAATAGCCTGAGGTATGGCTTAGCAGGATTATCAAGCTTTGGACTCCCTGAGGTTCCCTTTGTCGTTTGTGGCTGTGCAGTGGCATGTCCTGGTTTGCTTTGTGCAGGAACTGTGCTCCCCCTGCATGCCCAGCACTGCTCCCCTGCCTTGCTCCTGCACTGACCTGACAGTGTGCATCCCAAAAAGGGGTCAGAACAGGAGATTCAGCTGTGTTTCTAAGCTGACACAGACAGTGAATCGTGTTAAAGGAGAAGTAATGTGTGAGTGCCTGAGCTTCAGGGCTTTAGTTCCCAAAATGTGAGTGCAGAACAACTTGTCTCACCAGACCATGACCCTTGAGAGTGCTCTGCTGCTTTGGGGCTGCAGCTGCTGGCTGTTCAGCGTGTCTTGGTGAAACAGGGCTTTGCTCTTGCCTGTCACTCCAGTGGCAAACACAGAATGGCACTCACAGGGGCTTTGCACATACTCTGTGAAAGGAGAAGTGAAATACTTGATGTTTTTATTTCCCTCCCAGTGGAAGGTGGGTAAGTAGACCTTTGTGCCAGGATTAGTGCCTTTTAATTATGACATGACAGGTTTTATTCTGTTAAAGGCAACATGTATCATTGTGATAATTTTGAAGTGCTTCAATAAAGTGTTGTTGAAAACCACTTTTTTTGCATATTCATCTGTAGTAGGATAGCTGATTTATTATTGTTAGAAATATCTAAGAACCCTCATTACCTAATTTAACTACGTAACTTCATGTGGAGAGTGACTTGTGCTCAGTGGGGGCAACTTTGAAAGGCCAGGCTGTGAAATTCCCATTCCTGATTATTTCTGTTCTGGAAGCATTGGTTGGTCTCATTTGTGCTTCTCTCTGAAAATAACTATTGGGTTAAAGTTCCTGAACCATATTATTCAACAAGCAGAGCAAACACATCAATAGAGGAAGAAAAAGTTGTGGTATGTGAAATTTAAAGCTGAACTTGGTTTTCTCAAGAGTCTCAAGAGTAAGTAAACTGTTAAGGTGCTTTTGTGTAATTGTGTTAATTTGGGGTGTGAATACTTCAGTCTTTGCAACAAGAAGGAATTTTCAATAATGAATTCCCTTCTTGGTTTGGGTAACATTTAAAAGATCCATGAATTCTGCAGACTGAGGAAGGGAACTGAAAGATTGTCCAGGCTAGAGGATTTTATCCAAAGTCAGCATCCAGAAGTCTGGCTGGACCACTGAGTTGTAATGCTTGCTTTGGATTTATTCATTCTACTGTTCCTGTTACAATAATTGGAAAACAAAGACCTGACTTCTGAACTGCTCTCAAATACAGGCTGAAGACAGATCATTATTGTCTGCTTGTCTGTCTGTGCATAGTAAGTCCTTTATTCTTTTTCTTCTGCAGGCATTTTTCACGTTCTGTCCCATTTCCTTGTAACAAACCAGGCACTTTGGTAAAAGCCCCAGCGTGGAAGGGCAGCTCAGCGCAGTGCCAAGTGACCAGTTCATCACTCGGATGCTGTTGGGGTTGCTGGGCTAGCTCGGAGCTGGGTTTCTTTACCTCCCCCAGCTGTGGTTTCTTGCTGTTCTTTGGCTTATCTTCAAGAGGTTTGGTTTTAGCAGTACTGCCGGAGTGTGTTCACTCACATCCACAGGCACACCTGCCATGTGTCAGCTCTTTCTGCAGCTGCCCCGGAGCTGTCCCCGAGCCAGGGGCCACCAGTGCTGCGGCCACAGCTGGTGCTCTGCTCCACTGCGGGATGGAAATCCCCGTGCCACCTCCTCCAGGATCCTGGCTGGGAGCGTGGCTTGGCTTCGTCCCACCGCAGCTCCCGGGATCGCGCTCTGGGGCCCAGGGCAGGCCCGAGGGGCCGCGGGTCACGCGTGTCACAGCATCCCAGGGTCCCTGAGGCTGGCACGGCCCGCCCAGCCCGGGCAGTGCCAGCTGTGCCCCGTGCCCACCTTGTCCCCAGCCCGGAGCCCTGCGTGCCACCTCCAGGGGACACCTGCAGGGATGGGCTCTGCAAAGCTCCCTGGGCAGTGCCAAGGCCTGAGCAGCCTTTCCACGGAGGAATTCCTGCCGCTGTCCAGCCGCTGTCACGGGCACGCCGGGGCCTCTCCCGGAGCTGGGGCGTGGCAGTGACCGCAGGGCAGGGCCACGGTCCGGCCTGACCCTGCGCCGTGCCACGACAGCCCCGCGCCGCCCCGCCCCTTTAACGCCGCCGGGCGCTGCCTTTGAGTGACACACCGCGCGTCCAATAGCCGGCGGCCGCTCCCGCCTCCGCGCCGGCTCCACCAATAGCAGCGCGGCATGGGCGGGCTTTGTGCCGCTCCCAGCCCGTGTTTTCCTTCCGCTCTTAAAGGGGCCGCAGCGCGGCGCGGGCGGCGCCGCTGCGCTATGCGCGGGCGGCCATGCGATGGCGGTCGGTGGTGCTGGGGCTGCTGCTGCTGCGGCTCGGGCTGCAGGCGCTGCTGGCGCTGCTGCCCGCGCTGGCCCGCGGGCTCTGCCTGCACCCGCGCCTGCCCTGCCCCGGCCCGCGGCCGCCCGCGCTGCCCGGCCCGCCCGTGGGCGCTGCAGGCCGCGGGGCCCGGCTGTGGGGCGCGGCGGCGGGCGGCGATGAGTACGAGCGGCGCTACAGCGGCGCCTTCCCGCCGCAGCTGCGGGCGAGGCTCCGGGACGCGGCCCGGGGCATGTTCGTGTTCGGCTACGACAGCTACATGGAGCACGCCTTCCCCCGCGACGAGCTCGACCCGCTGCACTGCCGCGGCCGCGGGCCCGACCGCCGCGACCCGTGAGTGCGGCCGGGGAGCGGGGGCACCTGTGCCAGGGCCTGCCCACCCTCACAGGGAACAATTTCCTGTTAATATCCTGTATAAACCTATTCCCCTTAAGTTGGAAGGCATTTCCTATTGTCCTGTCACTCCAGTCCCTCTCTGTATTTCTTGTAGTCTTCCTTCAGGTACTGGAATGAACTTTATAGTGGGGCAGGGCTGTGGAACAGCTGCCCAAGGAGTCATGGAGCCTCCCCTTTTGGAGACATTTCAAACCAACCCGGATAGTTCCTGTGTCACCTGCTCCAGGTGACCCTGCCTTCACAGGGGGTTGGACTGGATGACCTGCACAGATCTCTTCCAGCCTTAACAATTGTATGATTCTGCTCTTCCAGCTCCAACCTGAACATCAATGATGTGCTGGGGAACTACTCCCTGACGCTGATCGACGCGCTGGACACGCTGGCGGTGAGTCCTTGGCATGGGGACACTGCCCTGGCCACCCCAGGGAGTGCCCTGGCCACCCTGGCACCTGCCCTGGCCACCCCAGGGAGTGCCCTGGCTGGGGGAGCTCCCCAAGGCTTGCCCAAGTGGTGCTAACAGCTGGATCACGAGCTAACAGCTGGATCATGAGCTGACAGCTGGATCATAAACCAGCAGTGTCGTGTGGGGTAACAGAATGAGAGTAGTTGGAGATGTCAGCACAGATTTCCAGAAGAGACAGAGGAAATTTTGGAGCTCCTCCTCAAGTTTCAGATGAGATCTCTTTGGGTTATGCCGGAGTGGGTGGATTTGAGCTGGAGCTGCTGTGAGTTGCTGAGAGGTCCATCAGGAGGAGGGTTCATTGTGTGCACAGGAAGAGCTCTGGTTGTTTCACTTGGCAGAGGGGCCTGACTGACACACAGATCTGTGTGAAGAGTGGTGAAAGGAAGGAGGGGAAAACCTGTAAAGCTGCTTCTCAGCTGCATTTCTGATAACACTGGAAGATAATGTGAGATGCAGCTCATTTCTGTGTTTGTGCCAGGGTATGGGGTCATGAGGAAGAGCATTTTCAGAGACCCCAGCAGGTTTCACTGTTGTCATCTGCAGCCAGGGCAGGGTTTGTGCCTTCTGGAATGTCAGGGCTCGCTGATGTGCTGGAGCCAGGGGGATGTGTATCTCCTCTGGAGCAGAAGGTGGTCTGGGCTCTTTGGGATAGAAAACCCATCCCATTCTACCCTGGCCTGCAGCAGTGGTGAGGAGCTGCTTGAGCAGGGCAGCTCTGAGCAGAACTGAAAGCAGACGTGAGGGAAATGTTGGGTTTTACTGAGAGAGAAGTTTGGGATCTGTGCTACGTGCCTGGTAATGGTGCTTTCCTGTCCTCCATCACCAGCAGGGCAGTGCTTAACTTCTTTTCTCAAATGTAAAGGTTCTGGTTGCTAATCTCCTGTGTTTGAGAAGCTGCTGCTTGTAAGCAAGCCTGTTCTGCTCCTCATTGCTCAGACCTGATGTTTCCTCACTGGGTCTGGGTAATGGGTACTTTGGTTAAAAATTTAGGTGTCTCCCAGCCTTTTCATGAGCTCAGGAAAGCAGGAACTTGTGTTTTCCTTCCACATTCCTGCTCCCCAGAGCTCAGGCTGAATTACATCTGTCTCTGGATGCAGTGGAAATCACTTCCTAGGTTAGACCTGTGGGAACAGGCACAAGGGAACTCCTGGATGTGCAGTGCTGAGTCAGGAACCTGAAAGGTTGGACTGGCCTATGGTCAAATAAACATTGAATCAAACTTCATTGTTCTGCAAGTTGTGTTATGTTTTAAACTGGACTTAACTCCTAAACTGATAGTTCAAGCAGTTTGAATACTCAGTGTGCTAAATCTGACTGCTGGGCTGAGATGTGAACTTGCCATTCTCTTCCCCAACCCTCTTCTGAAGCAACAATTGTACAAACTAGCTTTGTTTTTCTGTAAAAGGTAATGGGAAACTCCTCAGAATTCCAGAAGGCAGTGAAGTTGGTGATTGACACAGTTTCATTTGACAAAGACTCAACAGTCCAAGTTTTTGAGGCAACAATCAGGTATGTGGTGCTGAGTTTGTGTCTTTAAAAGTTAAAGACTTGGAGTGTGTAATTCAAAGTGAAATCATTGATTAAGAGGTCTTTGGCAGGCTTCATTCCCTACATTGTTCCTCAAGTAAGCTGTTTCTTAATCTTCTATGAAAATATTCCATCCTTTCATATTGGAAACAATTTTAATCAGTCCTGTGTGACCTGGAGCAGTGGGACAGTGGTTGGCTCTGTGCTTGCAGACTCTGCTTGCAGCAGAGACTCAGATCTGTGCCCTGATCAGCAAACCCTGGGACAGCTTTTCCCTGCTGTTTTTGTTTCATGGACTTCTGCTCACTTTCACTTTCATTTTAGATGAAAAGACTCTTCTGTGTTGAAATGGGTTTAGATACTGTCTGATTTTAAAGGGTTTAGTTTTCTGAGTGTCTCAAGCAGTGTTTATTCCTGCTTCACTTGGCTAGGCTTTCTTTTTTCTGAGTACTAAGTTAATGTAACACCCTTCCTGCCATTTGCAAGGACAAGGAAGTCTTCACTCCTAAACAGACTTGTTACAAGAACTCTGGATTAGGTAAATTTTGTAGAACCAGATTTTGGAACTGTGGCTGACAGCAGCATGACTTCCACATGTGTTCACTACTGCTGGGGAAAACCAGGTCGTTTTGTGTAGTGCCTGTAAGGAGCACAAAGTAATAATTCCATCAGACATGACAGCAGTAAGGTGTTTAGGTGAAGAATGAGCTTCAGAACAGATGAAAACCTGAATTTTCCTTTTCCCACAGGGTTTTGGGAAGCCTGCTGTCTGCCCACATCATAATTACAGACACCAAGCAGCCTTTTGGTGACATGACCATTAAGGAT